CGTTGAGCTGGTACTTGTGCCGTCATGGCATTAATGAGTGGCTGGAGAAATTCGACTCCATGATATTTCTGATTCACACATCAGTATATGTCACGCTTGGATATGCAAGTTGAACGTACGTCGACGAATTCCTTTTTATACAGGTTGCCCAAGATGAAGAGGTCAACTTTGAATGCATCATATGGGACATCCGACGATAATTCTGGCAGTTCTTTGTCCCGGCCCTTCCTACCAAGAACGTATGGCGACTCGCCTTCCTCGAAACGTGTCGAGATGCCAAAGTCGATAAAATAATAACGGACAGGATGGTCTATTCTCGCTAACGGCGACAGTTCATGCACAGTATCCATAGCATGGCTGCGTCTCACGGGATGATGACCGTGAGGATACAGTGGTCTGCCATCCATCATTATATTTGCCGCTGCACAATCCCTGTAGTGTATCAGACACTTATTGTGAGCAAGCAACCGACCAACATACCTATGTGCCACTCGGTGCCTGTGAAGGAAAAGAAGACCCTTAATGATTCACGGTTGTTATGTGAATTTAATAAACAAAATGAAATCCGAACACACCTCAAGCGTCTGCCCCACAAAGTCCACTGCCTCACCGATGGCTCCGAAATCAGGATCGTCAAACGGTCGAAGATATGGCATAACAAGAAAGGAGAGTGTGGGATCTAGAGGGTCATCGAACACTTCCAGAAGAGATACGCAATGATTTGCGGGATCCCGCTTCAGCTCTTCAGATGACAGGAACGAGGCAATGGCGATTTCTTCGCTGTTCTTGGTTGCGGTCTTTATAGAAATAATTGAGCCGTCTTTTGACCTTGTTGCGTCGATAACATTACAGTGCTTTTCATTGTCGGGGCATCATCAGGCGAATTGGTAAACGAACTACACGGAACACGTACAATTAGCATTATCGAGTCTTCACAAAAGATTGGATCCATGAGCGTGCCTATCCATGAGGGTGACCAGTCTGGCATATATCGGGGTCTCAGCATGTATCCGCGATCCTTCAGGTACAGTTGACGTTCTCGCCAGAATTGCTCCCCATGGCCAAGTGCGAAAATACCTCTTGCAGTGTGTTCCGCAAATCGCTTTGCTTGCTCTGGTGTTATATAGACATATGAGGGTAGTCGAGGATCCTGACCAGTCATCTGAGCACAAACAAGAGGAAGTGCGAGTCAAATATTAGGAGTGCACGAGTCGTTATTTCGCTCCTTAACTGAAGTACTACAAGCACTTGATCCTCTGCGATGGCACGTGATATATGGGATGAGTTGCTTAGCGCTCATCGCGCCGTGCGGAAAACGTACTTACGGTGAACTAAAAGGATGGCCCTCCTTGACGACAACATGCGTAAGGAACGCAGGAAGGAAATCCGGGTCCAGTCCTATGTATTCGCGGGTTCAAACTCGTCTCCGCTGATCTGACCTACATATCTGGACACTACAGCATGACCGTCGACAGCTTGCCCCCTGCTGAAGTCGACTCGCTTTGCACGCCCTGCCCGCCTCCCCTTCCATTGATTGTGTCGCGCTATGATCTCCGACACAACTTACAACATTCTAGGACTTATCTTGGGTGTCCTTGGTCTCTTTGGGATGTTGCCATCTCTTGCCACCTTCATCGACAGAGCCAACTGCCTTCGAACAAACTGCGAAAGTTGGACTCCACGTTAGAAGAAACCGAGTCTCTTCTGAGCTCTGTAGCTGAAGAAGGCTTATTTTCGGAAAGCAATTTCATTTCTGACGCAAGAGGCAATCTGTCATGGTACGTTCTAGATGTCAATGCGAATGCACATTTGTGGCGCACATTCATTCCAGCACAAAATAGCATACGCATGCAGGCAGAAGAAGCTCGTTTACAGTCACATTGTGCGACTACTCTGACGAAACAGTATGTCAAGATGGTCACCGGCCTATCATCCCGTATCTATGTTCTCTGTAAGGAAGCGAAAGACCTCAGGGCCAAGATCTCAGTATGTCGCCCATATAAACCAAGCTAGTATATATATATGCTCAATTGATATACAAAGACGTCTACAGCTGAAGAGCGGAAGCGAATTGAGAACGAAAGACGAGTGCGCCACAATCCTACTGCCAGTGCATGTGGTGCGGCCTTTTAGCATGATGTCCAAAACAATACAGGTGAGGAGAAGCTGAGCCTTTGCATCCAACGTATCCTTATGATCAGAGAGCGATGTGCCTTTTCCGACCACAGTGTCCTCCGCGGATGACAGCACATCTAGCTCATCGACAATGTTTCATAGTACATCTTTCCTCGATGCTTCTTCAGAAGAGAACGTCGTTCTCTATTCTCGGATGGCCCAGGCTAAAGAAGCGTGCCGAAAAATGATATCACATTTCAGGCAGCGAAGCAGCCCGCCACATGCGATCTCCTCGATAGATCCATCCATATCTACGGCAGGCGCCGACTTTTCCTCTTCTGATTCGACGATGTCAAGCGCTTCGATAGATAATGATATAGAAAGCAAAACTCAGCCAGCGTCTATTTCCGAATCTTTTGTCTCGAAGTCAAGCCAGAAAGCGGATCCTAATGTTTATACTCGCCGTTTTCCATTGCACATTCCCCATCGAGTTCGATATATTGCTCGAAACCACCAACATATCCTATTCCCACGGCTCGCCAGTTCCAAACGGTCGACTAAGCCCATGCGCCGTAGGATGTCTACGTTCGCCCCATCCATTCACTATACTGTCGCCAAGAGAATCCACGTCGCCGTTGAGATCGAGGAGCTTACATTTGGAGATGAGCTATCGAGCGATGAATCCAACGACAATTCTTGGGAAGATGAGGACGATACCACCTTGACTTGGACTTTGGATGATCGCGCAGAGACTAGCGACGTCCGTCACCTCTCATCGAGTGTCGTGCTGAATAGCGTTGTTCCTGCATAAACGCTTCCTCCAGTATTGTGGCACATGACTACGGATTTCTCCCACCTGGGAATATGACGCGCTTCTCGCGAAGCTAAGACCTTAATATTTAATTGATATGGAATGCAAGGATTACGGCTACCGGTGAAGACACTGCTAGAAATCGTGTTGGATATGGAGTGCTATAGAGCGCCACGTCGGACTCTATCTCTTTTTATTCATTGATTCACAGTGTTTAAATCGCTCTCACTGTACAGACTGTTCAATCCCTTCGTGGGCAAGCTATCTATGTGTCGCGACGCACTCATCGATGCTGGCCTGCGCGGATCCGAACCAGGAATATTGAACAAGTATTATTAGATTGCGTGTACTACAGTCGCGTTTCTGCAGTATATATTAGCTTTCATTAGATGTTTGCCGGGTTTTATGTGAGTAGAACTGGCAGCTGAAGACCATGGAGTACTAGATGGTCAAAGATCATTCTGCATAATTACCCTCTGGATGCTCAACAGCCCGATGATGTGATATTATACAATGCGAAACTTTGAATTCCTCCGATGCCTGCTTAGGCAGTCTCCCAATCATAGGTGTATGCTAAGTACATCAGGATTTTTGATATTTGCCTTGGTATGGCGCAATTGTCGTTGGTATGATGGAAGGAGGTCTTAATTGTACAACACTATTCCGTTCGAGGTGTAGCGCGCAACTATTGCATCATAACAGGATTGGAGTATGATACGCACTCAAGCTTTCATCTTGTGGTTACCAGGAGAGAGCAAAAATCCAGAATCGCGCCAAGCATCCAACCACGCTCGCACAGAACCCACGCTGGTCTCCGGAACCAGCTGCAAAGCGGGCGCAACTTCACTCGCCTTTACAATCGCGAGTTTCGTAACTCCCAGTGGCTCCTTATCTTCGTCGACTTTGTAGCTACGGAAGAACGCAAGCAATCGCAGCGCCGGGTTCTCTCTTAATCTCTCCACTTCCGAACCTGTTCCCTCAGTGACGCTTTGCTGGAGCGCACTGACCCACTCCTCGTAGGTCACTAAGGGGACCCCCAAATGCTCTGCAATCGGCGTGATGACGCTGTTCCACGAGACACGACGCGGGTGAGCGAGATGCAATACAGGGTGTATTGAATCGCGCATTTGGCCCAGCACCTGTCCAGCGTCGTATGCAGGGATCCACGACACGGTCTATGCAACAAAAGGGATATAATCAGTTGTTATTTCGAGATGATGTGCCATGTGGCTTGCCCCAGGTAGTTCAGGCAAGCGTCTCTGGAATACAGCAGACTTGACGAGGGACGGGAACCACTCCCGCTCGTTCCAGTATCCACGCCGATCGCCACAGACTTGGCCAACGCGCACGACGACTGGGCGCAACTCCGATGCTTGTCCAGACAAGTGTAAAATCCGCTCAGCCACCCATTTAGACTCCGTATACCCCGAGCCTACAGCAGAGGACGGGTCTTCGACTGGCTCTTCCGCAGCTTCTCCAAGCACGGAAACATCTGAAGCGATCGTCAGCGCAGGAACAGAACACGTATCTGTACAATTACATACGCCGGAGAACACCCACGGAGCTGACGAAGAGCAGTCGAGGGGGCGTCGTCAGTGGAGACTCTAACGATAGATCGATTAAGTTGCGAAGCCCTTGGATATTGTTCTCGAAGGATGACAGTGCCAAATTGAAGTCGACTCTCCACGCTATATGCCCCGTCAGCAGATAATTGCACAATCGTCCATAGATACAAACCGTTATGAATGATGTGCGTTGCTGTGTTCCGGATCTACCATAGCATGTGCGAAGTGAGTATAGTTGAGGAAACGGCCCAAAGCACCATGCCCTCACCTTTACGAATAGGGAGGGATCGATTCCGAGCCCGGGAAGGCCCATATCGCCTTCCACATACACAAATTTCTCACCCCGCAAGAGATTCTCATCGAGCCCTCTGCGGCTAAATGCATCCCGCTGCCTGACAGCGCCAGCCTCCGACACTCTGTTGAGCGCATACACTCGCTCAACGGTCTCGTCGCTGAGTAAGTGAGCAAGGATATTGCACCCAATGGCGCCAGTCGTCCCCGTCACCAGCACTGTATCTCGTTTTGACGCCCGCGATTTGAGCACGGACGGCCTTCCTGGGTATGCACGCGTATAATGCTCCACCATCCTCTGCATGGCCACAACCTTGTTCGCGACCTCCGGATCTTGGGCACTGTGCACGGCCGTGTGGACAGCACGAGACAGGCGAGCGATGCTGGGGGCTTCGAAGACGAAGTTGGGTGCGAGTCTCTTCGCGATGTTCGGGTCGTATTCGCGCAGTACTCGGAGAATCGTGTTGCGAATCCACGTAGCTTGTAAGCTGGACGGGTGGAGCGGCACATCAGCTTCAGTGGTGCTGCCTGCAGAAAACGGCTTCACCTGTCGCAGCCATGTACGAAAATATCGGCATCGCGAGTAACCGAGACTCTCAAGACACCATTGATGGTCCTCTCTACAAACTCGGCAATCGATTCGAGATCCCAACTGGCAGGCGGTGAGACATCCTTCTGCATCGTGTCGTCGACGGAGTCATAAAGCGCGTCGATCTCCTCGGCATACTGCGATAGAATTATAGCGCGCCGCGACGTGCCCTTCGCAGTATATTGGAACGGCTTGGACGGCGATGCAACGAGGATCATCTATTAATATATGTTAATGTTGCCTCCGAAAATATCGCCCACTTAAGGGGCATACCTCCTTGAAAAGCCGGGAGTGTTGTGGCGCCGTCTCGTTTATCCTCTCGACAGACGGCCTTGTATTGGATCAAAATCAGCGCTGGATCGTAGTGACACTCTGGGACTAGAACACACCAGATTGTTTCCCGGAAGCTCTGCAAGCGAGACGTGTCGTTGGGATCAAACGCGTGTTCTGGCGCTGGTTCGATGATCACACCGTTCTGCAGCCGCCCGCGTCCGAACATGACTGCAGCTTTTACGTGCGGGTCGCGAGCAAGCGCGTTCTCTAGAATCCGAATGCTGAGTATCTTCTCTCGAGAATGTATGCAAAACGTAAGTACCTATTGGGCCCGGATTGGTCTAATCGAAATGAATGTATTCGAGTTCAGTCGACCAAATTATGCGGATGGATACCGCACCTTTTCACCATTCGCCAACATGATCTGATCGTCGGCGCGGCCGAACACTCGCCAATACCCTGGCTTGTCGGGATGAGGCTGCAGAAGATCACCGGTCAAGTACGCATCGCATCCCCTGACTTTGGTGTTAATTATTTTTGAACAATGGAGGTCGTTGGACTGTAAGCGCAAAAATGAAGTATTAAACAACGGTACTTGATACATGCAAGCACTTACGACAAGGACTAATTCATATGTTCCGTCGTCGTATGGAATGAACTCCGGTTGACACACCACAGAGAATGTAAAGTATTCCCAGTCTGCTGCACCGGGCCCTACGAGAGGTCATTATGGGTAGTCCAGAGAATATAATCTAGACATACTGGGAAGATACGTGTTCATGACACCCGCCTCGGTACTAGCCACACATAATAAGCCAGGTAAGAGGTGATTGTATACAGACCACTCACGAGCCGTAGTTCGGCAGAATGGTCACGCCCTCTGCAGTCAACATATCACCTACACTTTTCGAGAGTGGGCCTCCTCCATAGATCTAACGAATCCTCAGTAGGAAACACGGCCAGTCACCATACTTACACACCAGCCCTGACATCTGCTTCAAAAGTGCTACTTTTTCCGGATCGCGAGACCAAGCCTGAACGGCATGAGTCTTTATCAGGGCTGAACTCCAATTTACCAAGAGATTACTTACCTCGATGAATGCAGGCACAGCAATCGCAATGGCGCTTTGAGTTTTCTTGATTCCATCAAAGACACTCTCGGGAGTGGGGATAGCTGCTGGACTCGAGGGCGGGAAAGTGGCCAATATCACTCCGCAAGATGGCTGCCCGATACATTTGAGTATACCAAGCCGAGATACGCAAACTGCCTACGTACCACCAAGAGCAAGTGCAGCAAACCGAGGCCGTGGAACATGGGTATAGAATGAAAACCCATGACTACTCCAGCAAGATCAACCTCTCCATACCCTTGACCTCAATCAATCCCTTGATGTGCTTCTAACCAAGCAATGTACGACTCACAAGGTGTCAATGCCGTTTGCATAAAGTCTAAGTGAGACCAGACGATCATTTTTGGGAACGCAGTAGATCCTGTAGACGGGTCAGGGTCTCGTCTAGTACACTGTCTCGGCGTTATACGCACCTGAAGAGTGGGATATGACAGCGGTGGCGCTCAGGTCATACCGTCTGCGATGAAGGAACTCCACAGGCTCGCTCGAAGCGTTCTGAGGAAACAGGTCCGAAAAGACAGGCATTGAATGAACAGGTATTAGCTCAGACTGCTTGTCTTGAAGCGCATTCCCAACCAGGGCCTGGATAGCGGGCTCATTGCTAGTGAATATGCAGCAGGCGCTCGATTTTGACAGTAGATGTGCAACGGCAGCAGGACTGTTGCGCGTGGACAGCGGAAAGACGGTGTATCCCGCGTAGAGGACACCAAGGGTGAAGCAAAAATGTGTGATAGTCTCTGCTCTAACTCAGCACCACTCTGAGCCTCAGACACTGAAAAAAATTGCGTACCTGTTGCGGCGAGAACAGCGACAACCGGAGGAGTACTACTCAATTCAAAGTCTCCTGCAGTGCGTTGCGCACCAACACGCTCAACAATGATGTTTGCTGCCCGCTTCGCGGCTTGAAGAACTTGCGGTCCTAGAATGGACTTGCACTGGGTTCCGTCGTGGTAGACAAAGACAGGATGCTCGGGATTGTGTTCGACAGTCCAATCGTAGAGCTCGGGAATAGTACGGCTTCTGTTCTGAAGATATTCCGTGGGAGGGCTAAACGTTGCGCAATTCGCCCCCTGGATACAGGAAAATGAGACCGTCATCGTGGGATGGAGACTGGCAGCGTCGGAAATCTGAGTTGCCTAGCAGTAAGTATATGGTCGTATCAGATGAACAACCGCCCTTGATGCCAGGTGATCGTTTTCACTCCCTTGATAATCATTAGGGAACCTAACGGAATGTCATCCATTTGAAGCCGTGGCCGGGAAGAACTGCCAGTACAGCTTGTTATCTCTGCATCTTGCCTGGAAGAATCGCAACAGCGTGGGCAACGAGTGAAGGACATTGAACGCCGAATGATCAAAGTTCAGTTCATCAGACACAACCCGGCGGCTTCACACTGGAACAACTACTATTGTTGGACAGAGATGATCACGGAACAAACTCGTCAAAGCCAAAGGCATCAGGTCCACTGTATCATATGGGAGCGTCGCACCCCAGGTCCCCAGTTATGCATCAGGTGCGTGCTAAAGAAGAGAACAGATGGCGCACCAGACTAGATAGTTGGATGAGCCACCACAAAAGGATCTATACGTGGAGAAGATGCAGTTAGCTCTGCGGTATTGCTAGTTGCTTCAGAGAATACGCAGACTATGCTTGGATTGCCAGTCAATAGTTTGAGCGTTAACGTTGAGCGATGAGAACTGGGGACGGGCGCACTCACGGTCAGGGCCCTCGGCTTCGATTGAACCCTGCAAACGACGCCCGGCGCAGGACGACACCGAGCGCGGCATGTTCATCACGCTCTTTCTGCCGGCCGTCTCGAGATCATCTATATTTTGTCCCGACTGACTCTGCACGCGCTGCTTCAAGTTTCAACGTCTATGTGCTACTGGTGGCAGTGCGCTCATAATCAATCTGCGGGACTGGCTGAACACAAGTTTGCCTAGGGGGCACAAACACGGGCTCTGCAAGTCAATCGCACATTCTAAGGTCGCACATGCGAAAATTGACATGTTCAACCTCGTTCACCCACCCCGTTGCGTGCACTGCGATAACATCACTCGTCCCCATTTCTTTCTCGAAAGAAGATGACGTCCTGACACGGGCAGGATAGGCTCTGGCCATCGAAGACAAATCGTGGACAACTATTAATTACGAACAGATGGCAAGGCGGAAAATAGCGATCGGTACGTTATTAGCAAGCCCAGTTGGTATACCTACATTTATGACGTCCAATGTGCCTTCCGTTTCTCAGTACTCAGTGCCCACATGCCTTTGCTCCATTTGTACTGCTGCTGGCAGAACGCGCTCGAACTGCCTCCAATTGCCAAGTTGTTGCGAAATTCGACGCCGCCGCCGAGCATACGGCAATCTGATTGTGTGTTCCACGCATGATTTCATCTTAACATCCATCTGAGCTTGAACCTAATCCCATGATCAAGTCTACGTACTTCAAATCATGACAGCGCTCGGGTCCAGTTTTTCTTCCAATAGAGATCATAGCGCGACTGTACAGACGTATGCGCAGCCCTTTGTGACGCATATAGGCTGTACCCATCATATTATGTCCGACTAGCACTCGATGCCCTCGATTAGAGATGGCCGGAGCTTAGACTAGAGCTATGCCGGAAAAGCGTACGTTCCGTCATTGCGCTATTTCGCTATCTGGGCTGCTGCTGCTGTAGATGGGTAAACCACATGGGCTGTGCGTGCTCAGTATGGATGGGCGCAGTATTCTGTGACTGTTCATCATAACCAACTAATCGGCTCCGCGCCCTATTCGAAGCCTGGTGACTAGGCTCTCAATAAACGTTCCAACTTTTGCATATTTGCTATATTTCCACGAACATTTTAGTTTTGAGTCAGCATGCAATAGCGTCGTTACCGTACGGACCACGGGGTGTTTGACATCCTACATGTTCCGTATCCAAGCCCGGTGGTGCGTGGCAAATTTCTAGGATTTGGTCAAATACAGTCTGACACCTTTCACAGTGTAGGAACGAGGGGAAGCCATTCAAGATCCGCCGTCGCCACAATGGTTGGTCGTAACCACTTCAGTGGCACATCGACGTGGTCCGAATACACGTCGGTACATTGATCCAGGCGCCTACGCTCATTGTGGCTTCGGCAGAGCCGGAGAGGGGGACGCATGCAGGGCTTATTCCGTACGCAGCACGAGGAATTAATACGGGAGACTCAGCGCATGGCCCAGAGTTCGTCTTGTATGATGCAAGGTACCCCGTACTGGGGAAGGGTAAGTGCGCACCGCGACCCGATAACCATCTGTCTGCCGCTCATAGCGCCTTTGCATTGTGCCACATCAGGTGTCCAAATCTTCCTGCTGCTGATGGACGTGATTCGCTACACCATGTCGTGCCGTCTCCAAGCTTCCGCGCATCCATCGCGGGAAAGCTGCTCGTTGGCCGGGCTTCCTTTGATAAGAACTTCAGGCACTATAGTGAATGCGTTTACCGTCCCCCGCCAGTATAATCACAAACACCTTGTGGCTGCGTGAAGCGCCGCCGATACTTGAACGGAGCTGCAGGTGCTGAGCCCTTTGTTCCACAATGGCTCAGATAGGCCTAATCTCCGCTGAGCTCGCTACGGTCTGCTCGGAGAGTTTTCTCTATGGAATCTTCTTCGTCCTCGCTGTGGTTTCTATGTATCTGCTCTGGATGCGCCATCGAGATCTCCGCGGTCCCTCTGGCCATAGAGGTTTCCATTCCGGCTCCTGGACATCCGTCTTGGCGTTCTTGCTCGCTGTCGTCCTAATCTTTGTCTCAACTACCTTAGTAGGTGGTACCCCTCCGCTTGGTATATGTGATGCTGCACGGTTGATCGATAAATGGAATAGCACTGGATCATCGCTGTAATTCGTGTCTTCAATGCGTTCGTCAACTACGAAGGGGGAACGATGCCGATTGCGTACTACGGAAACCTCTCTCGTCCTACAGAAGTCATCCAAAGTGGTGCGCTCGTGTTTACCGCGGTGGTGAATGACGCGATGATGGTGAGTATTCTTGCGCTTGATACAGGCAAACCCTAAGCGAGATCGCAACTGCAGATATATCGTCTGTGGGTCGTGTGGTCGCATAGAACATCCATTGTGATATTCCCGCTGTGTACTTTGCTTGGTTTGATAGGTAAGTCACTTGAGAGAGGGATGATGCGCGCCACTCATGTATCCCCAGCTTGCGGTATCGGGTTGATATACCAGTTTACCAGGTTCAAGGTCGGCCAGGACGTCTTCATTTCCGCGCTAGGGCGCTGGCTGACGAGCGACGCCGTCTTCACTCTGTGGTATGTGCTATAGACCATTTGTCGTTTCCTGCTAAGCGCTCAAGCGCTGTTTGAATAGCACTAACTTGTACTGCACGGGTAAGCAGTCTTTAAGATTCGTTCGGGCTCAGATTCGCATATTTATCGGATTGTGCAGTGATGATTGCATGGCGCATCTGGCGCATCAACTCGACGCTCAAGGGCATGAGGACTCGCAGCAGCCATCTCATGGTGAGTGACACCGGCATACCGCAGCCAGCCTTTCCTAACTCCACTCACCCTCACTACAGTCTGTGCTCGCAATTATCGTTGAGAGCTCTGCATTGTACACGTGCGTTCGTTCGTATTGACGACAGCTTCTCCCATGGACTCTGACGTACGTACGGCGAACAGTGTTTGGACAGTGTTCTTCCTGGCGACGTACGAGTCGGGGTCGAACCTCCAATTTGTCAGCATTGAGACACTTGCGATGATTGCTGGTATCTCATTTATGCTTATCAACGTCCGCGTCGGACTCGGCTGGGAGCAGAGGGGGCTGTCCACGGCGACCGGATCGAAGTTTGTCGCGCGCAGTATATCGTCGCGCGCGCTGGACTCGTACTCGATGCAGACGATGGCAGTGAACATCTCGCGCGTGGTCGAACGCGACGATGATGAGGAGTTCAAGTCAGCACAGTGTGAATCGACGCAGAGCGCGAAAATGCGGGAAGATGGCGGTGTATAGGTCCGCTGGGAAGTGGTGTATTTCGAGCGTGTTCACTGTATTGTATAAATCATTATTAAAGTTTTTCTCTTGGAAAATTATAGCGTCATGACCCAAATCAAGCCTCTTTCGCTCCCTTTCTGGGGTCCAAAAATGAAAAGGGCCTACTTCCGACAGCAACCCTGAGGAGTTAGATCCTCTTTGGCCGGAAAGATGGCACGGAATCTCACGCAGCTGAAGAAAGAACGACTTTCCACCGGCATGCATGTCAATAAGTGTCCCCGGCTTCCATATGACGATCTGATTGATATGAAGGCCGTGTAAGAACAGGCAGCATTCTGATTCCAAGAACTTACTTGTGATGTAGCTGAGCAGCATTTCAATGAAAACCCTAGAGTCCAACAAGCGAGGAACCCGATCCGCACCCTGAACGGCCTTTTAGGCATGTTGTACCCGCCCGCGAGATTATCACCTATACTTGTGCGCTGCCGCCCCCAGCCATGGTGGGAGCTGGCTGCAGACTACCGCCGTCCCCAATTCCGCAGTCCGACACGCACACTAGTCACGAATGCGGATGCCAGTACCCGGCTTGAACCCTGGAACAATTGGCCCAACGATGTCGGGGTACGTACCTCAGATTCCATCTACAAGTCAGCATCCCAACCTGTTCTCTCGATCGATCTAGTTTGAAACCTTCCATGAGGAGAGAGTGCCTGTAGAGCTCGGTGTCACGGGAACCATTCCGTCCTATGTCGCAGGCACACTGTATCGTACTGGTCCTGGAGGGCACCAGGTGAAGACCGACCGCGGCACCACATATTCTGCCGCACACTGGTTCGACGGTTTCTCCCAGACGCATCGATTTCAGATCATCCAGCCGCCTGATGGCTCGCCAACACGCGTATTGTACAATTCACGGCACAGTGCCGACCCCTTCATCGAGTCCATTCGAAGGACGGGGACGATTCCTGGCTTCAGCTTTGCACAAAGGCGTGACCCTTGTACCACTGTCTTCCGCAAGCTGCGATCCACGTTCTTCCCTGACCCGCTCCCGCCGCCCTCGCAGTTGAACATCGGCGTGACACTTACAGTGAACCATCCTGGCTTTCCTGGAGGGGACGGCCAGGTACCCGGAATTCAAAATCTCTACGCAAAGACGGACATGAACGTGCTGAGTCGGCTCCACCCCGAGACTCTCGAACCCATCGGGATCGCCATGCAGCAGTCGCTGCACCCAGACTTGACTGGAGTCCTCTCCGCATCTCATGCACGGTCCGATCCCACCACGGGTGATGTGTTCAACTACAACCTGGCCTTCGGTAAACACCCTACATATCGCGTTTTTCGTGTCTCCACGTCAACCGGCGAGACGGACATCCTAGCTACCATCACGGACGCGCCTGCGGCCTACATCCACTCTGCTTTCCTGACCGAGAACTACTATATCCTATGCGTCTGGGGCGCGCATTTCGCATGGGGTGGGATGAAGATCCTGTGGGAGAATAACATGCTCGACGCACTCAAGCCACTGGATCCGGCGAAACAAACTCTATGGTACGTCGTCGACCGCAAGCATGGCCGAGGGGTGGTGGCGAAGTACGCATGCGATCCGTTCTTCGCGTTCCACGCCGTCAACGCGTGGGAGGAGCCGTCTCCCAACGACCCGAGCCAGACAGACATCATCACATGCGTGCCTGTCTACCAGAACCTCGACGTCCTCAAACGTACGTTTTTCGAAAACCTCAAGTCCACGTCTCCATCTGCTCGCGCATATGTCGGGGAGGGGAATAAGCGTGCAGACTCCCGTCCCATCCTCCAACACTGGCGCCTTCCATCTGTCACTAACGACGCCGCGAAGGTCCTCCGTACTGCTATCCTAGAAGAGGCTGCGGCACCAGAGGCATCCATGGAGCTCCCCGTCATCAATCCGGGCCACATTGCAAAGCCCATGCGATTCGTGTATGGGGTGGGCGAACAGGGGAAGAGCACATTCGTGGACTCGCTCGTCAAGTATGATGTGGCGACGCGCACGGCGCGCGTCTGGTCGGTGCATGGTCAGAGCCCTGGCGAGCCCATATTCGTCGCGAATCCGGACGGGAGTGCAGAGGACGACGGCGTATTGATGAGCGTTGTGCTCGATGGGTTCAGAGAGAAGAGTTACTTGCTCGTGCTGGACGCGAAGAGTATGGAAGAATTGGGTAGAGCCAGTCTGGACTGTGCGGTGACGATAGGGTTTCATGGGTCATTTTACCCAGAGACAGGATCCGGACCCGGATTCTCTGTGTAGATGGCAGAATCGAGGCCAAGTTGGTGTTGCCTCTCGGTTTAGCTTGCGGTCAATTGCGGCGAGGCAGTGTATGAAAGCTAAGATTTTGTAAAGATATAGGCGAAATAGGATACTGCAGGTGGGTTGAAGTCTCTGATCAACCTAGCGGAGAAATAGATAGTAGTCTTATCCGTTCCCCGTCGATATACCATCACCTGTACAGCTTGCAATGAACATACCCCTCCCCAGTAACACTGCCACTGGATATCAAGACACCATCACGGAGAATGAAATTGAGCAATTTTTGTGCCAAGCTCAGTACTCAGGTTTTCAGAGAGGTTTACGCATAGCTGTCGTAGATGAACTGAAGGGCTGAGATTTGTCAATTTGGTACGCATTACTGTTCGTAACGATAGAAAATACAGCGCTTACGAGTACCCTAGTGAGGTACATTCATCCGAGCAACAGCAGGTAGTAGAGAGACGATGTCCATTCTACTCATGAGCATGAGAGGTGAATCACCAGAGTATTCCCCTGGCTGTATGGCACATCTTTGGTCTCATCACCGATGAGATACGAGTCTTCCGGTGCTAAGCTTGGTGGTGGTCCAGAAATAATCTCGTTCGTCCTGAGATTCAAAGGATGACAGATCGCAGGCACTGCGGTAAGCATGTCGGTGGTTACAGAGCGACCTTTGCATTTTCAGTCATAATGAGATGTATAAGGTACCACGGGGCAATGCAGGTGCCAGGATAGCAGCAGCAGCGACGATGACGATGCGGACGTACGCGCGTCGGGAGTGAACGTCGCGGACAAAATGAACGCAACATTGACGCGTCTCTGTCGGTCTGCTCGCAACCGTCTTATCTCCGGTTACCTCCTGCATGTACCTCCTTCGCTTTCTTGACTTCTGACATCCGTGCGCTTCAGACTCCAGTCGGCGCAGAAGGTGATTCACTCGATGGCAACTCAGTAGGCTACGCACGATCGCGAGTCTCGCAGCATAGTAAGTAAGTGCAAAGCTTCACTGCGCTCGAAGGCTGACTCGAAGGCTTTACTACTTTGAGAGCGATAGCTGCAGAGCGAAACATGAAGCTTATGGGACCCATGCAATATCTGTTTCGCTGACAGTTTCAAATGTTCAACATTCAGTGCTCAGCCATCATAATGATCACCTTGCCAACGCACAGTGTTCAAAATTACACTCTTGCTGCAGAAGGATTGCACGAGTTTTCCATGTTTTATTCACGCCCTAATGGCATGCGCGCTATTCAAGAGAGGAAGCATCATGATCCTGCCAGTGCACTCCACGTGAATGTACCTGGATGAGCAAACCATTCCTAGAGTGGCGACAGAGTACTGGATGGTACTGGACTACTCATCTTATTGACATTTGGTTCTAGACACGGTAGCAGGTGTTGAGCTTGTCCTGGGAACGTTGAAAGATTGTATAAAGCGAATATATGCACTGGCAGTTCACTACCGTGAGCTATAGCTATATAAGCCGTGGGCGTGGTAGTTGGGAATGGTGAGTTTAGTAGCTCATGATGTCTCTGACATCACAACTTGCACGAGCTGAAATTCCGTTGATTGCCTTGTTTCTCCCGCTATCATGCTTTCAAAATAGGAGAGCAGCCGCATATACTGCTCTCAGCTACTGCCGAGTCGGGCCTGGCTAACCCTTGTCAGCACACGCATCAACACTCGAATCTCACCTGAATGGATCTTAACATTCGCCATCTTTGACCGTTCTCGACCCCATGACCGTTACACAAGGTTAGATTTCCACCAACACGCTTACTTCACTATCATCGCCCGATGTACCGCGCGGGCAAAGCAGTACAATCTTCCCACTTATTCCTTAGAGCCATGCATCTATGCGACTTACAAGCTGGCCCGCATGCTAATGGATATGGGGCAAAGAAAAGGGGGTCCTGTTCGAAAATATCGCGGTCTGTAAATGTTATACAATCATGCAGGGCAGCTATGCAAGAACCAAAACCAAAATATGTGGAAGAGACGAAAACAACGAGTCACGGCAGAGAAATTCAAAGTAATGGAGGTAGTAATTGTCTGTCCTCGTCTCGGTCAGGACGGGCACTCACCATCGTCATAGCCATGATATTGATAGCGCAGCAGCAGCATCACCATTGTCCGATCGTCTAGCTTTTAATGCAGCAGGTGTCGAGTCCCCCTTGACCCCACTTGCCTTCGACAACGACCGACGAGGGTGTTTCAACTTTTCACCGCTAGCTCTTCGGCTTTGTGATCGGCCGGATTTCAATGATGCGACATCCTTAGAAAGCTCAGATTCCTCCACAAGCGCTGAGGTCGTGTTCGACAAGCCGCCACGCAAGGTCGTATTATCGCGACTCTTAATCTGCTCCCTACTTTGGAAATTGCTCGTGGGACCAAGCCTCAAAGACATCGTCTTGCTAATATTCCCAAAGTTAGACAGGTCTCCGGCCTTTGGAGGTGGTCTTGGCAAAGATCCACTTGCAACAACCCATCCGTCTGGACTAATCTGAGTTTGATCGCCTCGATTTCTAGCAAGCCTTGAACCGCCGCGAGACACGGTCGCGGTCTCATGAGCGGCTTTCCCCTTCGCAGCCTGTTGGTCTATCAGTAAATATACAACAGTCGTAGCTTTACAATGCACGCACAGCTTCGTCAACAGCGGCGGTCATAGTGCGTGCAGCTACTTGATTGCGTGGCACCCACTCACGCTCGCGCAACTCAACGATATCCTATGATGAGACAATCAGCGACGACGGATAGTGTGGGCGAAGGAACGTGCCTGTAGCATAAACTGCATACGTGAGTTGACCTTCAGGCTCTTGTTAAGCTCCTTCATGCACGAGAAATACACATCCATGTGCGCGCGGGCCTTTTGCGTATCGAGTATCTGGCCAACAGAAGCCAGGAGTTTGCACAAGCTTTCAATTCCCTCCTCTTCTAGGTTCCCGACATTGGTGAGCAGCTTCTTGACACATTCATGCATGATACACTCTGTGAGTACTTGCAGCTTGAATAGCTCACAGATGAATTTGATGAAACTGAGACCTTGTTTCGCCTTTTGTGCACCATAAGCGTGGTATCCGTCCCATCCCGAATACAAGATATTCTCATCCGTACCCTTCTCAGCGCCCGCCTTTGCAGTTTCATCCTCAGGAGGCCTCGCTACAGCTGTGGAGACCGTCGCCGGTTTCGCAATCAATGCTCTCTCGAAGTCGTCTTTACACCGATCGAGCAGGTATATCTTCAAGAGCTGGCCACCTACGATAGGCCTTTCTTTAGTGTTCTCAGTGTCGTCATCCTGAATCCTGGGGCTTATCTGCTCCATTATCTTCCGACACAGGCGTGCATACATCTCGTGCCACATAGCCTCGTCCGAGGTCGCCATGTCGAACACCAGTCGAACGACCCGCATGATAATACGCCCGTTTTTCTCCTGCTCTGATCTGTTCATCCAAGCAATGATTTGATTTGAGATAGAATCAAAACGCTTCATAGTGAGTTTGTTGAGCAAAGCCTTGACCTTCCCCATCACAATCTCTGGGAAATCGGTATCGACCTGCTGGAGTCTCTTTCCAAGACACTTAGGTTGCCATCGATTTGCAGACACCTGTAGAGGCGCGACGGGCTTGAGATCCACCTTGCCACGTTTTGCGCGCGTGCGCGTGCGTATTTTGGTTATCAAACCATCTTGACTTGCGTCGTGAGTGAATGGTTGGGCACCATTGAAGCGTATGCTCGTCAAAGTAGAAGGCAAAACCGCTAAAGGGTGATGGCCAGAGCCTCTATGGCGTATCAAAGAGGCTTGACCGACGGGTGTAAGATTCAAAGCGTCCAAGGGGAAAGAAAAATTAGGCTTCTCCTTGCAAATAGCCATGAATTGCATCAGGAAATCTCGGTCGTATCTAAACGAAAAGCCAGCTCATGGATCTGTATAGACTTAGAAAATAAGATCGTACCTAAACTTGCCATGTCGAGCATTTACATTCAACTCGACTTTCGGTCTTCTGACGCCGTCAGGATACGAGATGCAATTGATATCCTCAATAACACGGGCAGTTGCAACGACTGAAGGAAACGACCTCTCCTTCTCCTTCCTCTCGTCTTCATCGCGCTTTACCCTCTTCTCAGCACCCTTCCTTTGGCGCTCCTCATTCTCTTCAGCAAGCCGCCTTTCCTTTGATTCAAACGTCTCTTTCCAGACCCTCAAGAGAAGAGGGGGTTCATTCCCAGAGAACATGGACATTCCGTCGTGCTGAGGACTAGGTGAGCCAGATTGGTAGTGTTGTGGTTGTGAGACTGTATGCTGTGGGAAAGGGCAACCGGGACATCAGCCTCAGAAGGAGAGCACGAGGAGTCCTGAACAAGTTACGAACAGCGCCTGCTACCAACTTCTATTTCGCCTCAATTGGTGCCCTTCTGAGCCAAATTCGCTTATGGACTGCGGCACCACATACTCCGTCGCACACTGGTACGATCACTTCTCTCGACGCACCAATTCCAAATCACCTAATCACCCAATACCTCGCCCATATGCGTTCTGTATAGATCGCAACTCAGCGTCGATCTCCTCGTCGAGTGGGCAAATCGGAGGACGGGGACGCCATTTGATTTCAGCGTCGTGCAGAGACTTGACTTTTGTAGCACTATCTTCTGCGAACTGTGCTCTGTACTTGTCCGACATTGCGACCGCCCTCGCATGCGGACGTCGACGTGATACTTGTTCAACTACAGCTTCGTCTTTGATAGACACATTACATACCGCATCTTCCGCGTCCCTGCGTCGACCAGCAAGAGACACCTTAATCACCATCATCTGTGGCCTACATTCATTCTGCTTTCGTGGTCGAGAGCTACTATATCCTATGCGCCTGTGACACGAAATTCTTGTGGGTGGAATAAAAATCCTCTGGGAAAAGAACATACTCGACGTGCCCAAGCCGCTAAATCCAACGGAGTACACTCCCTGATACATTGTTCACTGCAAGCAGAGGCGGTATTTCAACGAAATATGCACGCGATCCGCTCAACCAGACCTGCGTGCCAAAGCTTATGCGGTTCGTGTATGGACTGGGTGAGCAGGAGTCGTAAATTATGATGTTGGGGCGCACGACACGCGTCTGGCTCATCAGCAGATACACTCTCGAGGGACCTCGAGCTTAGATATTCGAATGATTACCGGACAGATAGCTGATGTCCGGCAGTACTCAGTTTGGTCTCGCTGGTGTTTTGAATTACCCATCTAGTCTCGGCCTCGTTATATCCGGCTAAAACGTCAGCGATATGTCAGTCAAGTGGAAGTTAGAACTGAACATGCGATGTTTTGACTGACAATTTATATCGTGCAATAAGGAGCTGAGTAGTTGAAGTGAATCACCATTGCCAGCGGGCTGGACCGAACCGGGAAGACTGCACAACGGGTTCAGCTGCGACAGACGCTCTAGGAAATGGGGTTATCAATGACTTTCGTGAACACTTGTACCGAATAAAGACACCTACTGAAGCAGTTTGCGAGCATGCAGTCCAGGAAACTGACGAGAAAGTTGTCTCATCCATTTTTCTACGGGCATGTCGAAGGTATCCGAGGAATGAACAATTCCGCGCAGGTGAAAGTGGACCGTCTCCAGGTTCTCGAAGCAGGCCTGGCAAAGTAGCTCTTCGAGTTGCACACAATCTATTCTGGCCAAGAGATCGGCATGATTTTGCGGTAGTGCCTGATATGAGCCTACGTTTGCTCCAATTACAATTTCCCGGAGCTTCGAGGGGAGAGCAGTAGACATGATACCATAGGTCCAGTTCCAGTTCATAATGTACTTGTCACTGTGATCCAGATCGGTAGTGACCGAGACCACCTCTAAGCCATCATTGTTTCCGAGGTCCAGTATGTCCACTTTTGCTTCATACGTTTCCCAGCATGTCACGTCGAGAGTTCGGAGAGATGCACCGGCTACTTGTAGGAGCCGCTGTAGCGTACTCACAGAACCTGAGCGACCCTTCCATTTGATGCGCTGCAGAGTAGCCCCGACAACAGAGATGATTAGGAAGTCGACGACATCATCGGCTCCTTGGACATCAACCTGGATTAGCTCAAAGGGCTTCGGCGGCAGCGCTCGTCCACGCACAAAACCTCTCGTTTTGAATGATAAGTCATGGCAAGTGAGGCTGGTTAAGCGAGGAAAGGAAAAGACGAGCCGCGCAAGGACAATAACGGACGGGAACTCAATCCAGTCGAGCGTAAGACGAGTGAGCGAGTCGAACGTGATCCTGAAATGAGTAAAAACATCAACATGCAACGAGCCTGGCATCCAATGGCGTATGTCGCATGTGTCACCGATCGTTAATGCCTTTACCCGTGAAAGCTTCTTTCCGGACATGAATGCGAATGGCTGTCGTAGCGTTATGACCTCGGCTGTGTCCATCTGCGATGCGCGATTCCGAATCACCTTTGCTACTTTGTGTGCTTGTTTCTTCTCACGGAGAACGATATGCTTAGTTAAATGCCACCGACACCTAGTGCTCCACAGCCTGCAAGTGAGCGCACACGCCCGCAGCGCATACACCCATTCGTCCTGCGCCAGAAGATCAAAGATCCGCTCCCAGACTTCAATAGGTAGTGGCCCATAGGGAAAACATCCTGGTTTCCGTATTTCTTTCAACCGCGTGTTTCTGAACACACCTGGTGCACATCGATCTACGTCTGAAACAATATATCATTCGCCTTGGGGAGATGAACATCCTGCAGATGCGTACTCACGTAGGCTGATGCGCAATATGCAGTGTCGTGCTTCTGAGTCCTGCTTCCACCAGTGCGTCTCGCCACATACTTTGCAAACGATCGGAGGTTTTCGTAGAATCCTGCGAGTCATGGTGGTGCAGGACAAGAGAGAAATCCACAGAGATAATGCATTCTCCATTGATATAGAGCCGTTTATGTAGCTTGCAACCTTATCCAATCGGCATGATCGCCCCAGTGACCCAGTGCGTCACTGCCTCGCCCCTTTGATACTAAAACACCGCCCTGAAAGAATGAAAGAGAGGGCGGTCCACTCAGGTTCTTGTGAAGGGTGTATCGGTGACTCAGCTCATGCCCACCAGCGCCCATTGTACATGCCCTGAAGATTTAATTATTCGTCACTTCAGCACACCGCTGTCCAAAATGGAATACACCGTTGCTCACAATAATAAGGCAGGGACATCCATATCGCATATTTTGAACCTTGGATCAATTTCATTAAGAACCGTTGATATTTGATGCTTCACCGTACAACGGACATAGCCTCCTATGCATAGCCACGGTAGTCATCAGTGGACCATGGGCTATGGCCTAGTATGAGAGCTGTTTCGACCTTAATTTTTTGCTGATGATAGTTGATAAAGTAGTCAGGTAAATTCGGTGGATGGAACAAGCGTGCGGATGCGATGCGAGTGTGATAAATCGTGGAATCTTGCATGAAGGCATTCAGTGTAGACGTTATGAGCGCCAAATGTAATCCGCGTTGGCGGAAATCGGCCACCTCTTCCTGCACTACCACAACGGTCTCCTCTACATTCTTTACTAGAGCAAGGTTTATGCAGACCAGGTTGGAGTGGCCCATAGACTTGTATAATGCTCACCTTTCTTTGCAATGCCTGAGCAAACGGAATGGATACGGATATTGAGAGGCTCGCCCCAGGGTCCTGGTGAGCTGTCTGATTCTCATATTCTATGCAAGCGACTACACAATGAGAAGGAGGTCATCATACACTGGAGATGTATATTGATAGTATCGCAGTGTCTGGTCATGCCCGCCGTAGACGCGTCTCGTCCGTGAATCGTGGAGGTTTCCCGATCTGCTGATGACTCCGGCCGACTTTTCATTCGAAAACACAGTTTCAAAAATGGCCCATATTTCTAATCCAGCTGCATGCACTGCTATCATTCTCGCTGATCTTCTATGGCATTGGCCATATAGCTCTTGCATTCTAGCTGGTCCCAACTATCAGCTGTCCCGACTAGACTTCCTGCAATAACGAGCGTGAGTGCGGAGCTCCGCATTGACGTTCGTACTTGCAGAAGGCGAAAAGTTCTGGAAGGCGACCGCGGCCCCGCTCTTGTGGCGGTATTCAGATTCACCTGGTCACATGGGTCTCAACGAGGATACTCATAGCTCCCAATAGAAGGTTCACGGCTTAGACCAGGAAAAACCACCCTCATGTGAGCCCCAAATACATCCCGAATTTTGTGCCGGCCAACCGCTGCTCCTTCCTCCTGGGGACCTCAAGAAGCGTACAGACGGGACATTCGGCAGAGCCTTGGTCATAGGACAATACGGTCCGTTGCCGGGTGTAAGAAGGATCTCGCTGTCATTTGACTTGCCACCATTTGGGTATATATCTCACTCCCGAGACCAGAAGTTGCGGCATAGCATCATGAATCTCCTTGCGCTACTATCGACAGCGCAGTTCTTATACTTATTGGTCTCTGTTGCGCATGCTGGGACGCTCACGAAGAATGGTGATGTCTGCACTGTCAGTCCTAGCGATGACGGAAGCGACGATACACCAGCTATTCTCTCTGCATTCGCAGAATGTAGCCAGGATGCAACCATAGTCATCGACAAAGGCACATTCAACATCGAAACCGTCATGGAGACCGTTGGTCTGCAAAACGTTACCGTAGATCTGAGGGGCACCTTGCTCGTTTGTTCTAGCCTGTTTCTGCAGTAATCTCACGCGCTAATTACCCACATATTTGAACAGTGGAGTACGAACATCACTTATTGGCGAGGCGCCGGTTTGCCCCTCAACTACTTGAATATGACTTCTGCCTGGGTCTTTGGCGGATCTGATATCACGTTCAATGGCAACGGTTACGGCACATTTGATGGACAAGGCCAAGTTTGGTATGACTTTTCTCTCTCTAATATTTGGTTGTTCATTGGCGCGTCTCAGGTACGACTTCGCAGATGGTGCCGGTAACGTCGCAGGACGTCCAATCTCCTTAATTATCGCGAATACGACGAACAGTAGGTTTACAGGAATCCGCTTTGTCCAGTCCCAATTCTGGACAATGGCGATCACACAATCCGAGAATCTGCTGCTCGATCATATATACGTCAACAGCACCTCCAATAGCTCTGTATGTCTCCGAACGCTCTTCGATTACAGGAATCGTCTAAATCTTGACATCATAGGCGTCTACTCTCAATACAGATGGCGTAGACACGTTTTTCTCTAACAATATTACCTTCCGCTACTGGTCTGTTACCAACGGCGACGACAGTATCAGCCAGAAAGCCAATTCGTCTAACATCCTCATCCAGGACTGTGTCTTCTATAACGGAAACGGGATTGCTGTAGGCTCTATTGGGCAATATAATGATACATACGAGTTCATTACAAATGTCACCGCGGAGCGGGTTGTGGCCATCAACACAGTGTGGGCGGGGTATATTAAGACGTGGACGGGCGAAGTTGAGGGGTATCCTCCCAACGGTAATTATATATTCACATTAGGCGAATTATATTTGACGTTTGCTTTATTATCAGGTGGTGGCGGTGGTATCGGCTATGCATCTAACATCAGTGCGTAGCTGACGGTTGCGCGTTCGCGCCGTAGGCTGAAATTCCCATTCCGCAGCTTTCCGAGACTTCGCCATTGCCAACCTCACAAACGGCGTTACCGAAATAACACAATGTATCTCCTACAACGGCGACACGGGAGGATGTGGCACCTCGACATTTGCAATATCCGACTACACCTTCGAGAGCGTCTTCGGCACGATCTCGGGCGGGAGCCTCGCAAACCTATATTGCTCAAACAATGCACCATGCCCAGGGATCGACCTAGACTTTGCGAATGTGGTCACGAATGGGACAAGGAATCTGACATGTAGTAATGTCGTGAATCCTGACTTCGAGTGCACGGGTCCGGCGTACTATAGCCCTTACTGAGAGAGATCGGAACATGTGGAAACGGAAATCGGCTTTTATTTGCCTGTATTTTCTGACTGGGTCTTTGGTATCTACCACGGATCAATTTACCTCATCACTTTCTGTCTCAATCGCGCGGGCTTTACTAGAGCTCAACGGCCAATCAACAACCACACCTGAGCGGAGATGCATCGTTGTACGTTCTCGACCTATCATTTCTCTCAGTACTTGCAAAGTTAGGGCATAGTGAGCTTAAAGATTATAAAGCGGAGCTTAACTTGTCGACCATCTGATACTTCGTATTCGTATACAGGTCTAGGTGGAGCAGACCGGTAGGTGCCACCTTCAGTAGAGCATTTCATGCCCACTATCTTGAAGTACAGCCTGAGGAACCCGAGAGAGAGCACGAGACTGCCTTGGGTACTACCAGTCGGATCTTTGAAGGCGCATTCGGAGTCGTCATGGTATTGGAGCATTGCGCCAGATACTTGTCTCTCCTCTTCCTTCCTCCTCGATTGAATAGCTCGGTTGACTGAGGGATTCTCTAGACGTGGCTGGTAAGTTACTCAGAACTGAACTCAGCTGGCCTTGGGACTTTACGATCACGTGGGGAGCCAATCTCAACACGCGCGACGCGTAAGCGCCAACAAGTATGGGCTGTCTTGTTTAACTTCGAGCTTGCCCAGCAGTAACAGATCAGCCTGCACTCCAAACTCGCGGCCCACCTTGTGTTTGCTTCCGAAATCGAATCTCCCGCGTTGTTGCTATAGAAATGATGCGCTTTGTAAATGGTCAAGGAGTGTGGTGTGGCTAGGTTGGCGACCCGGCGGACTTCACAATTTGCGTTGCTTCGTGGCACGGAACTAGTGTTTTGTGGATGGAAACGGCATATAAAGGAAGGTGCGTGAGCGCACGCTTTCCCTCAACGCGGTAGCCATGGCTCCGTCCTACTCCCATCTCGACCGCCCGGAGGAATCCCCAAGGCGTCCCTTCGTCAGGAACCTCGATAACAAATTCGATGCCCGGGTCTCTCTCTTCGTTGGTGTTTGCTACTACCTCTTTCCGCTTCGCAAGGCGCGCTCGCTTACAACAGCCTGGGCCTTGGAGATGGAAACAGTGTACTACGACGAGTGGCAAGAGTTTTGGGAGGAGGCAAAGGAGCAGTACGCAATTTTTTTTTATCGGCAGCTTCAAGTGTTTTGGAGGACTCCCCTTGAAATTATGGAAGAGATTTACCACCGTTCGTGGAACTACTGCTGGTGGCCGCTCATACCCACCACTAGGCCGTATTTGCCGGATGCACGCTTCTTCCCTGCTCCTGGGTGAGCGATAGAGCATTATGGCGTTGATCTAGTAGATGACTTACCAAACAGCAGGCATGTACGCGTCTACTGGCAAAGGAGCGTCCAAGAAGTACTCGGAAAGCCGACGACTCCACAGTCTTTTGGATGCGGACCCGAGTCGACCCGCATCCCTCAACTGGGCGTGTTTGTGGACATGCCTCTGGGCCATGAGGGTGAGCTTGACATTGGTAAGCTCATGCGCATGTGGAATCTGGACAATATATTTGTATGTGGATTCTTTGAGGTGCTTCCTCTCACTGACTCACCGTGAGCAGTTCATAGACATGTCCCGCAAGACGCTGTTCGAGCCGGGGGACTCGAAGGTTATGTCTTATTTAGCAGTGCAAACACTGCTACATCCTTATAACGGGATCCCTGTTCTGCGTGCTGTTGGTACGTATTCGTCCGCTCTGTGCCCGCTTGAACACGTTTGATGTATTGCTTTGGCTTGCAGAGGTCCCTACTCGTCAAAGTCTCCACGCACGGGTGCGCCGCACCGAACTCCTTGAGAAGGGATCCTTGCGTCCGCTCCAATGGTTCGACACAGCGCGTGTCTCGGTGATGTGGACATACCTTACCATCTACGACTACTACCATTGGAATCCATGTCGGAACTTCAGAGGAACCCCCGAAGGCTATGTGGTATTGATCTTCAACATGCTTCTCATTGCGCTGGTTTTCGCTATTGCGATCCAAGTGGCGAGTCTGGAGGCGGTGCAAACCACGCTCGCCCTGCTGGGTGTCGCCCTTCTGAACGCCGCGGTGGGTGTCTGCGTTTTGTTGTGTCGCACTTACGAAGTGTTGTCGAAGTTGAGGTCGCTGCTATAAGCGACGCTTGGTTTTCTCCAGATAAAGTTATTTGTAGGATTAGTGTACACTCATCTTTTGTTCTCTTCCGCTCTTGTGTGCGTGTGCATGTGCATGTGCGCGTGGACTTCGACAGATTTTATGCTCCAGTATGCCTACCTTGTCTTACCATATGCTGTCTTACTCTCCCATATGAATCTGTTATATGCTTCTTGGGCACATCCGATACAGCTCGAAATATGATCTATTTTTCTTTCTTTCACGAAGGACTAAATTTGAATTAGCGACTGTTAAATCGCACTACATGAACATGACAAAGTTTGGAGTCGGGGGGGGG